CATAGACTAATAAAACTAAATCTTAAGAGAAAGACCACTGTTTTATGAATAAATATAAATAAATATTTACAACAATAGGTTTAAATAAAACCAAAATTGTTTAAATTAAAAACCCACTTAATTTTTGTTGTATTTCTAACAGTGTGATTACAAAATCTACTAACAACCGAACAACCAACGGAAATCAGCCAAAGAATGCGCGCCCCAGTGAAGCATTTTGCCCCATCTTTTCCCCCATTTTCAGTTCCCCTGTGCCGCCTTTAAGTCCTTGGTAAAAAAAAAAAGAAATCTAAACGCTGTCTGTGCCTGCCAGTCCCCTTCTTCTCAGCTCTCAAAAACCCTCTCTAACCACCATTTTTTTCAAGCAAGGATGTGCCTGCCGCTGCTCATTTTCGCTACTAAATAAGACAGGCCGCCGCGTCCTCGAACAACATTTTGACATTTCTTCTTCTTTGCCGGTTTTTTTTTTCTTTGTTTTGTGTTACTTTTTTTTAGCATTTTTGCATTTTTCCTAACAAATTTCCTAGTTTTCGTGCCATAAAGAGAGGTTTCAGGGAAAAAGGAAAAGAGAAAAGTGCATCAAGCTAACTGCAAGAAAAGATTTCTGTTGAAGAAAGCAAAGCAAAATATTAAAAGAGAATTCTAGTAACATTTATTTTTAGATAAAGAAGAATATTTTCAAATGCTAAATTAATTTTACTCAAAAGTATTACGGAAATAATTAACTTTTTTTTTTTAAATATTTATTTCAAATTAAAAATTGATTTCATATTTCTTTATGAGTAAGCACTGACATTTTTCCCAGCTTATCACTTTTTCAAAACAAACCCCATTTATTAAGTAAGAAAACAATCTGGGAAAACGCTTTTCAATTTCAGTTTTCACATTATTTATTTTTGTGGGCCACTGCATGCACGATTTACTCGGAAAAGGGCGGAAAGTTCGCAGTCAAGTGAAAATGTCAGCCACTCAAAATGTGTGCGCCATTTCGCATATATATTAGAAATCTACCAAAAACTGAACAAACACACAATAAAGAAAAGAGCAAGAAAGAGAAGAAAGCCGAACAGAGTTTATTTAAGGTTTAACGATTTGGAAATAACACCACAAAACAGGACGACAAATTATTTGGCCATCAACTGCAGAACACTCGCTTGGCATTGGCAGATTGGCGAGGGGCTGAAAACTTATTAATTTTCACAAAAGTCAGCCACACGCAAAAAAAAAGTATCCCGAAAACATATACACACATACCCCACACTCTGCTACCCCACCAAGTCGAAAATTGTGAAAAACTGCGACGTTATGCACATGAGTGAGCAAATAGCAGCAGCAGCAGCAACATCAGCAGCCAAAATGCATAGCATACTTCGCCGGGCATTAGTTTATTTTGTGGGGAGGATGGTTAAGATGGAATTAAATGAGTCCGGGTTTCGGGGGTCCGGAGTAGCAACAACAAATTATGAGTAATTGCTGTGATGGCAGAAAACATATACAAACTAAGAGTTGTATGTGGTTGGTATGATGAAGCACTCCGAGGATTTTTCAAAGATTTTAGAAGCCACCAAAAGCTAAGGCTAGGAAATTAGACTGAACCGATATTTATTAAGAATACAATATAGTAACAACAGTTTGGTTAGATTTACGCGGATTCCCAGCACACTTGTAACACCGCCAAGCTTTCAGTTTTTAGAAACATAAGGTCTCATTTTTTCCAAATCACGATAACCAGATACTATCCTTTCCAGTAGAATCTCAGCGAGATTTAAAAAGTCATTCAAGAAGTACTCTCTTTAAATGTGAGCTGACCTAATGCATCTACCTGCATTTTTCTGCAAACTTCTGACTAAAATTATAATACCCTGCAATGGTATAAAAATGATATTAACCATAACACTTAAGGCCCTTTAATGGTTTAATCTGATTGCAACAATTTGAAACGCTGCATGCCAAAGTCATAACGGATGTACAAAAACAGAATCTGATTCACGTTTCCACAATGAAGGTCTTCTCTGGCAACTTTAGCCGACTCCATTTTTGATGCGACCCAATCATGGGGAAGGCCAAAGCCTGGTGACCATATTCTTCATCAACCCATAAATAAATTGGATCTGAATGCTCAGCTACACTATGGACACCAACTGTGATATACAATAAATAAATACAATATCAATAACCCGAAGCTTTCTGGTTTAACCTTATTATAAGGCTTTTTAGCGCTGCATGGTTAAGTTATTAAGAATGGGGAAAGCAAACAGAAACTACAAAATGAATCTATTACACGTATCTGCGGAACGATTTCATAGTTCCGCTATCCTAGTAGCCGTTCTTTTTCTGGCAATTCCTGAAGGATGCTTTTGTTTAAAGAGTTCTCCAAAAGTCTATACCTATGGAGTGCAACAACCCGGCGACATGAGACACACGCGTCATATAAGTATGACTGCGTCTGCTTTTGGCAAGGCTATCTACAAGACAACACTAAATCTAAAATACGAGATTCACTTCATTAAATTCCTGGATTATGCACGAAATAGGCCTGATATATGGTTGAGTAAACATCCACCTTGCTATAACCCAGAAATCGTGATCAGAGCGCCACACAAAGACAAGATCGATATGCAGATGGAGATTTACGTTGCGAATCCAAAAAATGGTTAAAGATTGTACACCAAACGGATCTTGTAAAATAAAATAAAGCAGAGAAAGTACATTTTGGTAATGTCAGCATGGCGAATAAAGAATTTATCTGATTTAAAAATGTATAATTTATATTATATTAGATGTAAACCCTTTGATACAGTTATTATGTGCAATTTAAAAATACAATAACTAAAGTTTTCTGGCTTAATCTCATTACAAGGTTTTTTACTGCTGCATGCCCAAGCCATCAAGAATGGGGAAGGAAACAATAGTTACAAAATGAATCTACACGTATCTACAGAACGTTTTTATAATTCCGCCATTCTAGTAGCCGTTATTTTTCTGGCAATTCCTGAAGGATACTTCTGCTTCTGGAGACCTCCAATAGCCTATACATATGGAAAGGAACAGCCCGGAGACATGAGAACGACGCGTAATGTAAACTTGGTTGCGTCTGATACTGGCAAGGTTATGTACCAGACAACATTAAATCTAAAATACGAGATTCACTACATTAAATTCCTGGATCATGCACGTAATGGACCTGATATATGGATGAGTAAATTTCCACCTTGCTATAACCCGGAAATCAGGATCAGAGCGCCACACAAAGGCAAGATCGATATGAAGATCGAGATTTATGTTGCTAATCCAAAAAATGGTTAAAGCTTATACACAAAGTCGATTATGTATAATAAAATAAAGCAGAGAATATACCTTTTTTTTAATGTCAGGATTCCGAATAATGTATATATATAAAAATGTATAATTTATATTATTTTATTATATTATATTAGATGTAAACCCTCAGATAAAGCTATTATATACGATGTTAAAATACTATTTTGAGCTCCATCAATTTCAAATTATTATATTACATATTAATTACAAACTGCAAAGTTCTGCGTGCTGAAATTAGCTTTCTTTTCAGTTTTATTTTGTAACGGGGGGTCGACATTAACAAGAAAATACAAGAAAAGCTTTATGGTTTAATCTCATTACAAGGCTTTTCCGCTGCATAGCTAAGTCGTCAATAACAAGGAAAGCAAACCCAAGTTACAAAATGAATCTACTACACGTATCTACGGAACGTTTTTATGGCTCAGCTATCCTAGTAGCCGTTCTTTTTCTGGCAATTCCTGAAGGATACTTTTGCTTCTGGAAACCTCCAATAGCCTATACATTTGGAAGGCAACAACCGGGCGACTCAAAAACGACGCGTCATATAAACTTGGTTCGGTCTAAGATTGGCAGGGTTATGTACAAGACAACATTAAATATGAAATGGGAGATTCATTTCATTAGATTCCTGGATCATGCACGTAATGGACCTGATATATGGATGAGTCAATATCCACCTTGCTATAACCCGGAAATCAGGATCCAGGCGCCACCCGGAGGAGAGATCGATGTGCAGATGGAGATTTACGTTACGCTACCAAAAAAAAATGGTTAAAGCTTATACACAAAGCCGATGATGTATCATAAAATAAAGCAGAGAAAGTACATTTTTGTAACATCAGCCAGCATTCCACATATCTATATCTATAAATTTCAGAAATGACTAGTGGTTCCGTTAAAAAGTTATATCCAAAGACGTCATTTCCTTTTTTTGCATCGGGGGGTTGATATAGAGAAGGAAACGCAATAATAGCTTGACTAAAGCTTTCCGGTTTAATCTCATTACAAGGCTTTTAACCACTGCATGCCCAAGCCATCAAAAGTGGGAAAAGCAAAGAATAGTTACAAAATGAATCTACTACACGTATTTACGGAACGTTTTTATAGTTCAGCCATCCTAGTAGCCATTATTCTTCTGGGAATTCCAGATGGATACTTTTGCATAAACAAACATTATGTTTATGGAAATCCTAATGAAAGGCACAGTAAAATAATACGTGAAATAACCCTGGTTGCGTCCACTTGGGATAAAGTTACCTACAAGACTAAACTAACTATGAGAAGGCAGCTTACTGGCATTAGATTCGTGGATAATGCAGGTAATGAACCTACAATATGGATGAGTCGATGGCCACCTTGCTATAACCCGGATATCGTGATCACCTCTCCAATAAGAAAACCCATCGATGTTACAATGACGGCTTACTTTGGTTGAAGCTTGTACACAAAGCCGAACAGATACAGTGAATTTTAATTGTCAGCACTCCCAATAAAGAATTTATCTGACTTAAAAATGTATATTATTTCATATTATTTGCATTTAAATTAGAAAATGCAAGGGTAAAGAATGTTCGGCGTTCTAAAGTTAGCTTTCTTTCTTATTTTATTATATAGCATGGAAAAAATGCAATAACAGCTTGACTAAAACTTTCTGGTTTAATCTCATTCGAGGCATAGGCTAAGTCATCAAGAGTGGGAAAAACAAACAGAAGTTACAAAATGAATCTACTACACGTATCTACGGAACGTTTCTATAGTTGCACCGTCCTAGTAGCCATTATTCTCCTGGCAATTCCAGATGGATACTTTTGTAGATCGTATGTTTTTGGATATATTAATGAAAAAGACATGAAAATAACGCGTGAAATTTACCTGAAAGCGTCTTTTTGGGGTCAAGTTACCTATAAGAAAACACTAACTATGACAAGGCAGCTTACTGGCATTATATTCGTGGATAATGCAAATAATGAACCTACCATATGGATGAGTCGATGGCCGCCTTGCTATAACCCGGTTATCATAATCACCTCTCGAAAAAAACTACCCATCAATGTTACAATGACGGCGTACTACAATTAAAGCTTGTTCACAAAGCCGATCATGTATAATAAAACAAAGCAGATAAAGTGAATTTTAAATGTAAGAATTCCAAATAAAGAATTTACCTGATACTATTATAATTTCGTAGTATTACTATATCAAGTTTCGCGCTGCTGGTGTCTGGCTTTATCCTATTACAACCATTTTCCTCATTGCAACGCAGAGTCATTAAAAATGTAGAACTGAAGCTACTACATGTATCTACGACGAAGGTCTGCATATCATAAACAGGTAGTCAAGCCTTAAAAGTTATGGAAAATGGTGAAAGATGACAAACATAATAGATTGGACTAAGTAGCGATGGCTTAAAGCATGACAGATAAACGACTTTAAAGTACCCTTCCCTTTTTTCATAACTAGTTTAACTTGTTCTACTTAAACTCGTTTCGTATTAGGGATATATTCACTTTGAAGGGTGAAATTTCTACACTACTATATCCAGGGGGGCAAAACTCATCTGAAATCAATGTAGTAAAATTCAAAATTGTCTGGAAATCGAAACCGACAGACAGACCATGACCCAGATAGACAATACTTTTATCAAGTTGCGAGCCAGATTACGAGAGCGGGATATAAAGTTGTGGGAGGAGCCGTATTACCTCGACGGAGTGGGCAGCATCGAGTCAGAGATGGATCGTTTAGCGGGCGACTTGAGCGGAGACCTGGGAATAAGTGTGTCCAACTGCCGGTGTGCCCTGACAGAAATGCAGGACAGCGCTCTGAGGAAATTGGCAGCACGCAAGGAGTTCACCGAGACTGGCCTTGCTACCTTCAATGTGAAATGTGTGGACAGCAAGGGCGGCACTGCGCAAATGATAGAGGTTAAGTGCTCTTTGGGGGCCCCGGGATCGGAGCTGCAAAATGAGGTGGCCAAGAAGATGGGATTGCCGGATCCCAGCCATGTAAAGTGCATTTCGGCAGGTCGCATCATCGATGGACAGCGAACTCTGGCCGCGCAGGGTGTGAAGAACAGCCAGCAACTCATGGTGGTGGTGGGCAGCCAAGTGCTAGGCCAGGAACTGCACGAACGTATTCAGCGGATAAGAGCGGATGTGGAGGTAATTGTGGATGCCGATCACCGGTTCATGCAAATGGAGGATCAGAACGGACGTCAGATTTTCCTGCCGCCAGACGAGAATCGAGCCCTACTAATGGCCATGAGCATGTACGAGAAGGGCAGAGCCGCTATTCAAAGGGAACAGTTCGATGAAGCCTTACTCTTGCTCCTAGAAGCCGACGAATTGTTCTCCCAATGCAACTCAAAATTCCTGGAAGCGGTGGACAATTATGCCCTGCTTAACCTGGACATTGTGTGGTGCTATCTTTGCCTGAAAAACATCACCCAATTACCAGATGCCCAGCGCCGCCTGGAGGTCTGTGAGAAGACTTTTCGCCTCAGCTATGGGGAGCACTTTGATCGATTGTACTCCATCAAGGGATCAAGTTGCCCGGAAAGAGCTCTTATCATGAGGCTGTGCCTGTTGCAAGGTGTAGTCTTCTTTCACCAGAATCGCCGAGATGAGGCCTACGAAAGACTGGAGGAGGCTGGCAAGGCTTTGGCCGAGTTGAAGACCTCCGACGACCACATTTCCCTTCTAGTCGAAATGGGTTACGATGAATCGGAGGCCAGGCTAGCACTGAGATCCTGTGCCGGCAATGTGGACAGAGCCATCCAGTTTATTCAGGAACGCAGGGAGAAGATAAGCGAGGAGCGGAGTAACTCGGCGCGTGTGAGTCAACTTAACCAGGAGCTGAAAGAAGGTAACTCGAATCGAGGGTGGGTAGATCCTAGGGGTGTTTCTAGGCTAATGGAAATGGGCTATGAGCGGCGACTGGTGGTGGAAGCCCTGAAGAGAACCAAGAATAACATAGATCGCAGTCTGGATCTACTGCAGAACCACTCCGAAGAGCTAAGAGCCAATCTGCCGTCAACTCTTGCCGTCGATGAATCGTTACTCTCCACCCTCTTGCAACTTGGATTTCAGTCCACATCTGCTCGAGTTGCTTTGGAAACCACAGACAACGAGTTTTCCAAGGCAGTGGAGTTTCTGTTAAAAAGCTTTGCTAGCAAAACAGAATTACTGGGTGTGATCCGAACTATGACAAAAATACTGGAGGAGCATGCCCCCTCAGGATCAAATAGGACAACCAACAACAACAACAATGACCCCTCTCCGTTTGCCAACCTGTCCGACAGTAAGTTAACCCTCATCCGAACGGCTCTTAGTCAGGCCAAATCGGAGATGGAAACATATACTGCCTTCAAGAGATTCAACGAGGATCTCTCCGAGAATCATCCCGACTATTTGGATCTGCCGCTGGTCCAGGAGGAGCAAATCCTCATAGAGTATAGACAGTTGTTGGAGCGTTGAGGTCTGCATTTTTCAAATTTTAAAACTGTAAAAAATATTTTGAGATTTATCTTAAGTCTTCCAAAGTAGAACTATGTAAATTGGTAATGAAAATGTATGCTTTATGGTCACATGGCGGACTCGAAAATAAAGGGTCATATTTTTATTAAAGCTTTAAGACATTAATTACCCAAGGAATACATGAGTTATGTACCAGAATACCTGGTTTAATAGCAAGGTGGTTCTTTACTCAGCCATATAGAAGGTTTAGTTTAAAATTATTGTTAAATTTATCGCAATGGATATCGTTCGGCATCCATAATGTAGTTAACCCTCCAGTAATACGGTTCCTTATGTGTACGTAGACCTAAAGTCACCTGGTTTTGTGCATCCTAAGTAACTAACCCACAGCTAAAACAGCCCAAATGCGAAATCTTAAGGGCCCTGTGCCTATCTATCGAATTATCTATCAAGTATTAGGAACTGTATCAGTTTGAGACCTTTAATAATTCAAAACTTCTTCAACTTACATGAGAACTTATGTATATAAATGTTTAGGCTCACCACATTGATTAGGTAAGTATCTAAAATTCTTGTATTATGACGCCCAAACCTTAACCAAATCGTTTTTAAAAAGTTGCTTTTAGAGGTTATATTCTCTAACTTTTATAGGAATCCCCCATGAAAAATCTATTTAACGTTTTCACATAGACTCAATACAGACGTTGATGTTGGGCAGAAAGGAGTTGAACGAGACCTTGATATTGTTGGTGGCATTCATGAAGCAGGAGCCAGTATCAGCTGGCAACTTGGCAATCAGCTTGAGAGTCTTATTGATCTTCCTGGTCAGCTTCATGGTGGCCTTGAAGAGTTTCCAGAAGCATTTGGAAGAGTTCTTGACGACCGACCCCACGGACTTATCCTTGGCACACAATTTCGAATGCAGATGCAGTATATCATTGCAGATCTTGATCATGTCCTTGACATTCTTCACAATCTTGGCCACATCCTTGGGTACAGCGGTGCCGCAGGCATCAATGTCATCCAAATAGGTTGTACAGGAGCTCAGAATATTGGTTACCTCCTTGATAATACAGTTTGTGCCACGAACCGTTTTCAGAGCCTTGCGAAGAATTTTCCTGCAAGTGCGAATAAAGCCAAAGTCCTCTACATCCATATAGTCATTGTCATTATCCAATTCGTCCAGCACCTGATTCAGTTCGAATTCAAAGTCAAAGTCATCGTCCAAGTCAAAGGTTTCTTCGCCTGTTTCAATCGAGTTTGCCTATAAATTTAATATTTTATAATGTTAATTGCTTATTAAAGTGAATATATGTATAGAAAACGTACCCGAGTGGTAAGCACGCAGGTGGCCGAAACCAAGACCAAAAGACAAAGCGTTATAGCCTTCATATTGCTGCACAGTTGACTTACGAATGATGTTTGGCCACGATTAAGGCCTAGTTTTTATACACAAACCTTATCACTTCTTAGAGTGCCCACTCGATCTATCGAAATTTAAGTCAATTGGAAATATTTAATCAAAATAAATATCGCTATCGGGCAAAGACAAAGAATCAATTCAAACTTATAGACAATTTAAAGACAACTGATAATCAATTCAAACTTATAGACAATTTAAAGACACCTGATAATTTTTAATTAAGATAAGGAAATAAACAAAAAGACCTGATATTACAGATAAAATGCAACCATTATATACAAAGAGAATATTGAATTGATTAAAGTAAACTCAAGCAAAGATTTCCAAACAATTCAACTCAATTCACAACGAAATCCGTTGAAAAATCCCGAATTTTCGCTGCCAATTATTACACCGTATCAAGAGATGTAACCGCCATATCCACTTGGGCTCCCTTACGAATCCAGGCAGCGGCTCAGGACGAATTAAAAGCGATAAACCGCACGGACAAAAAGAAGAGGAACCACAATCGAATGGTGGCAGAGAACAGATCCCGGACACAATAGACGACAAAAAGGGAAAAATTTGTTGCCATTGTCAGCTTAACGCGCTCCAGCTCGTCGCCTCACTTTGTCCGGGGGTTATAAATGGTAACGTGTGGTTAAGGGTTAATAACTCCCACCAAGCTGGCGAGGAAATAAGAAATAAAAGTCCAAGGAACCAGGAATAGAACGGGGCCCAAGACATTTTATAGATACAAAGGAAAGTTGGCACCCCGCGACAACAAGTGTGGCTGCTATTGAAAAGTGCCGTAAATGTCTGTCGCAGAATGGATGGATGGTGTTGGGTCTGGGTTTGGGTTTGGGTGGTGTCCTTTGGTTAAGTTACTCGGGGTCTTCTTCCCGGATCTTGGGTGGTAACACTGTCGCTGGGTGATAAAGTAGTGCTAAGGCTGACGACTGCGTTATTTAGGGGTTTCATTTCAGGTTGATTCTGCATCTTTAATTTGTTTCTCCTTTTTGATAGCAAAAAGAAATTGAGGGTTATTTCCGTTAATAAAGAGTTTCCACATCCTGGAAACTCTGTCCTGTGTAACAGGCAAAAGGTTAAAATCAACCTCGGCCTGTCACAAACTGTTGTCTTCCCATGCTCAACCTACTTCCCCACAAAAATTATCTTCTACTTACCATTCGAGCACTGCACATCTTGCCGTCGTCCTTCTGCTCTTGGCATAAGTTAAATGTCGAGTAAATGCGGCTGACAAGCATGATGTTGCATCGCTGCCTGCATCAGACACTTTTAAAAATCCTTGTCCTGTCGTGTAGTCTTGTCCTTTCCGCCTCTCGTCCTGGGCAAGCAGCAGAAATGAAATCAATGACATGTCGTCGGCAAAGTTTCCCCGGCACTAAATGAGTTTTCTCCGCCCCACGGGGCATTAGACTAATATGAACTGATTTACCCCAAAGTTAAGTTTCCACCAAAAAGTTGACAAGTGACAAGTCACATTGTTGTACATTAAATTAATGAAATCATTCTGCAACTTTTACAGGTCACGGCCGCACACCCAAAGCTCTTTCTTCTCTTCGATCACGGGAAACTCCAAGTGTCTGTCCGGATTTACGGCTCATAAATATTGAGCACAACTCATCAGGAGCAGGCCATATCTGCTGCTGAGAGGGGGCGGAAGGAAGGAGACCGACTGCAGTCAATTGTTGGTCATCAATCTTTTAAACAAATGCGGTTCAATGCCAATGACAGCAGCAGTAGAAGCAGTAGCAACAAAGCCGAGGAAGGGAGGGCGGAACAATGAAGAAAAGTGAAGAATCGGGGGATGTTGCTGGGAGCTGGCAAAAGGGCAAAGGCAGATAAAGATGAGTGGCAGAAACCAGGGTTTAGGTGGACCAGACTATCACTCTTCAAGTATATAATATGGAGAGACTACAACGTGAAATCAATGAAACTGTGATCACAACAAGTACATTTGTGATATTTAAAATACAAAAGCTGGGTATTTTTTTCTCCTTGTGATTGAAAACCAGTAAGCCAGATGCAAAACCGGAACCCCAGCAAACTAAACACAACAGCACCAAACAAATTCCAACGCCAGGACCAAACCAATGGGGGACAAACCCTCTTCTGGATTTGATGGCCATGATGGCGGCGACATATTACTTCCTTATTTGTGGGCTGCGCCCCGTGACCTTTCACCTTGCCATCGTCACGCTCCCAAAAAAAAGTGAAACATTAGGCACAGAATTCGCATTGTGTTCGACGCCAGCGTTTGCGTGTGTTTCGCATTAAAACAATGACGGGGCGCAAACATTTTTAGCGCTGACAGCGAGCCAAACATCCGCCAGATAAAAATGTCCGCGAACAACAAGCTCACACAAATTTGATTGAATCAACTGTGTCTCTCCCACCCACTGGGTGTCTGTCTCCTTCCAAAAGGGGTCCTGGCCATTTGCTATCCGTTTAACCAAGCCCGCCGCCACTGGGAGGGTAATGATAAGCGCATAAAACCATTAAGTGATTCCACTCAAACGAGCACGTTAGCATGGCTGTGAAGCTTGCTTCTGGTTCACTTTTTTTATTTTGCTGAAATTGCCGTTCATCTACACGTAGAAAAATTGTATTTTCTTCAATATATAAATACTGCGAAATCTTATTTAAGTAAATAAAGAAACTATCCGCAGAAGTGTACCATAAATTGTTTTTGAAAATTTGAAAATTGTAACAAGTCTCCTTTTAAAGTGAGTCCTAATATATAGTTATCAATCTCATCCAAGTTTTTCTCGTCTTCCAGCAATAATACCAACTCAAAGGACTCACTGTGCTCTCATTCACTAATTGAATCGCACACAGAGGCAAATCTCTTGCTCCAATCCTGCGAAAAGTGAATCTATATACAAAAAAAAAAACGAAACAAAAGGAAGTACTTTTTGTATACGACAAGGAAGGTCGAGAATGGGAGGTGTGGCCGTTACAGTAACGATGACAGCCATGTGCTTAAATCCCTGGCAAAGGGAATACACGGCTTCCTACCAGTCGAAACGGGGAAAGCGATAAGAGGGATGAAGGCGGGTGGGTGGTGCCAGAGGCCGGGAGCCATGCCCACGATCCAGGAAGGGACGCCCCATCCGTGTTAAATGGCCAACAAGGTGACAATGCAGATATAATGCTCATAAGCAGACGGCATAAAGCGACAAACGTGCCAGCGACCAGCGACCATTATGTCGATGAGATGATTCGCATGACGGTGACAACGATACCGGTGTCGATTCGCGATTGATAATGCTCACTTACGGCTAACCGAAATGTCAGGGCAGTCGGGACTGTGGGCGGTAAAAAGAAATCGCTTATCGTATGTCTTTACGCACAATATAACAGACAGATGTCAGTGGATTGCCCAACGATGTCATTACAACCAAGTTAATGATTAATGAAGCGTTTCAATAAAGTCAGGGTCTATGAAAAACTACAGGAAGATATACCTTAAAGAAAGCAAATACCAAGGGAATAATAACATTATCATTTCATTAACCTAATGCAATATTTTAACCTTCTTTTTCTTAAACCCATATTTATGTAAAATACAAAACTGTTCATGTTTAGTTTGTTCCTTTTAAATGCCGGAACAAGTACAACAGAATCTAGAGTCGTAAGTAGCGGAAGTCACCCGCATCTTTTACCAAAAACTTTTGCGCCGCTGACATTAGTTAATTGTCAGCCGCTTCAGTTTGCAAACATGCATTTGGCCAAAAGCCAACACGGCCAGCAAAATACAAAAAAAAAGGCAGAACGGGAAAAAAACAGAGAAATGGTTACAATTTAATTAAGTTCTTCGTACGTAATTTGCGCCAGCACTTAAAGTTGTTCCCTTGCCTTGTTTTCATGGCGACGCTGCCATGGTTTCCTTCTTTTTTATAATTTTTTTCTTGGTTTAATGCGCTGTTGCACCTTCAGGGTTGCCACCAGCGCTAAAGTTGCACTACTTGCTAATTACGCAAATGTTTCAACTTTAAAATGGCGTCGCCATTTCACGCGCCCTGCGTGTGAAATTTATAAATGTCAACTGCTTGGCGCCACCCTCTGGCCTCTACCCCACCGCCGTCACTTTGCACTCTGTTTTGTCTGTTTAACTTTTGTTCATAGCTGGCTGACTTCTGCTGATTGTGCAGGGGTCGGAAAATGGAGAAGAGTCCTTCTTGGTGGTAGTACAACGCCCCCAACTCTCGGCACTCGCAATTTGTTATATTTGCTAGTTTTAAAAATTAAAAAATTCTCCATTCCCTTGAAAAGGAAAAGAGAGCAGCAGCAGAGAGATAATACTGAAATGGAGACATTATGTTTTATGCAAGTGCAACAGTGCGTATGCGTGTTAAAAATTGCTGCCATCCAGTGTTGCCATAGCAGTTGCAGTAATGAAAGTAACGGCACATTCAGGGGAGGAAGTATTCAAATATGAAGAAGAGAAGAAAAAGTTAAGAAAATAATAATAATAAGACTAGTCTTTTAAATATCTATAAGAAAAAATTCAGTAAATAATATATAAGATCTTTCTTTTTAAAGCTAAAAATCAACTAAATGTACAAATTAACGCATAATTGGGACTCATTACCACAGAGAGATTAAATCTGAGATGATGCTGTCTCTGAAACTTTATGGTTTTCAAAACTAACTGCAAATTATTGACTAAAAATTGAAGAAGAAAATGAGATATCGAACTTGAATGAAACTTTTCCAACATAACTACTTTTTGTATGTTAATAAAAGCCAAATTTATGCAATCAAGTACTAGCAAATGCTGCAGACACTACTGAGTGTAAAACTAATGACCACACAGAGCCTTAGATACATCACAGCTCTTGCCCATTTACTGGAAATAATTGATCAAAAATTGGAGAAAAAATGCAATATCAATATGTCCCAATAATAATACTTTTTCAATGCTTATAAACGTAAAAGGCAAGCTCAATGAAACCTTTAGAAAGGATTGCATGTCTAATTTGGGGTAATAAA